TGTTTGATTTCGCATCAATACAGTGGAGAAAAAAAAAACGCATGGACCTCTCGTTCCTCCACCTCCCTATATGAAGCGCATCAGAGCCCTCACGGCCAAATCACACTCCTTCCTCTGCCCATCGTCCCACCATTCAGGTTTTCACATCCATCAATTACTATCTCTTATCATTTGTGTTCCCCTTGCAAATTCTTCTCCATATACGATACTATTTGATCTGTTGATATCTGCTGATCTTGCATCATGTCCGTGTCCACAGTGCGATCGAGGTGGCGAGCCATGAGCAGCGGCAACAATGGCGGCAGGAACGGGGGGCTGGAGCTCAACCTGAACCAATCGCCTCCGCCGCCCCTGGCCGCAGCGGAGAGGATGGAGGTGGACGGCGGTCATGATGAAGACGACGATGACTACAGCAACGGCTCGTCGTCGCCTAGCTCGTGTGTGTCGTCGGATGATAGCCATGGCGGCTGGGAGCCGTCGCCTATGGCGATCGGAGCGTGCGAGCGGTGCCTCTTGTACTGCATGGTGACCAAGGAGGAGTACCCCGTCTGCATCAACTGCAAGCAGCCCTTCCTTGTGGACGTCCTCCCTGCCGGCGACGACAAGAAGCGTGGCCAGCGCCAGTAAAGGAGGCGATCGAGCTCAGTTGCCGTGCGCAGTAGATGCCATTGCTCATAGAGATGGTTTAGCTCAGTTTTGGCGCACGGATCTTGGCGCGGGCTGGGGACTGAAAGCCGTTAGATTGTCCACTGCAAGTACTCCGTAGTAGCTTAGTGTAGTAGTAGTAGTTAACTTCCTTCATGATTCATGGCCCAGTCTGTGTTAATCGGTTTCTTCGATAGTTATTACCTGTCACAAGTCAGCGTTTTTTATATGCAATAAGCCCCTTAATAAAGGAGCTTTTCCCTGGATAATGCAATTTGTTTATTCTTTCTTTTTTGTGGGTTGACAGTCTATATATTCTACGAACATCTTTAGCAGATCCCATAAACCATCCAATCCGGCAAAATAACCGCAGTTTTACAGGACGGAGCCCATTTGCCGGCCAAATAGATCCCCTATGTTCGTTCATTCCAGATTTTTTTAGGGATCCACCAAACCGCGGCCCATTTGGTTCATATCATCCCTTATCTTTGGTAGGAGGAAAATTTCAGCTCCAACCGCTTCCCTCGCTGTCGGCGCCACGACGCCAGAGCTCAATTCTGGCCTCGCGGGAACGCCTCGACGCCGATGACCAATGGACCCTGGCCGCAACCGCTGCTCGAGCTATTCCGCGAGGTGCGGTCGGGCGAGCGCCACAAGCTGCGGTCGCAAGTTGAGCTAGCTTGCTAGCTGCAGCTGCCGCCACCGCCAGCTACTGCCACCTGTTCCTCGCGCCCGCCCCCGCAGTCCTCGTCCTACTGCATGGTGGCGCCGCCATCGGTAAGACATGTGCTCCTTCTCTGTCCATCCCGACGAGATTCTCGCGGTGGAAGCGGCCGAAACGAACCAAATTGTAATTTAGCGAGCGTTTTCAGGGGGTTTGTGCAGTTTTGCCAGGACCATGAAATATCTTTACGGGGTCTGTTATGCCGGAACAAAAGTCATATTGTAAAAATGCGACAAAAATGTTTTATAATATCTTGTAAATCAATTTTCATATTATGGGTATACCAGATCTGCTAGATATGCTCTAACCAGCGAGCTACGCGCCCTGCCTTGCAACCGGACTGCGTTGGTTGGGAAACTGTGGTGAACAATTGCTAATGACAAATGAACAATTATCTTTATTCTTTATTACTAATGATTACATATCTATACCCACTAATACTAAAAAAATAAGAAGTGTTTCTACCACTCTAATTTCATACTCCTTCCGTCACAAATTACTTGTCTTAAATTTGTCTAAATATGAATGTATCTAACATGTTTTCTTGTTTCATACATCCGTATCTAGACAAATATATACCAATACCTACTAATAAAAGAAATAGATATTCTAGGTCCGTCATGTTATTCTGCAAAAAAAACCTCTGATGTTTCTAGTAATCATCCCGCAGTCCAGTTTCAAGTTAGATTTTTTACTTTCGCGGAAACCCACTACAAGAAATATGTCAATTAGTGACCTTCTGTCAGTGACCCTGAAAGAATTGGTCATAGATCTATGAACATTTCAGACCAATTGGTCAAAAGCTGTTCGGGAGGCTCCAAACCCTAAACTATAACGACCATTTTGGTCAGAAAGGTCGTAATTTCCTTACACGAAATGGTCATAAAATAGATAACACTGGTCAGCTGCCTTATTTCTAGCTGATCATGACCAATATAGATGGTCATAACCTTGTAAATTGTGGTGGGTTGCTATGACTAGACGCCACCTCATCAGTTTTGCCTATGTGTCATGTCCATGTGGCAGTTTTTGCCCTAGGTTGTGAAGCAACCTATATTTCTGTCATTCCTAAAATTCCCAAAAAATTCTCATAAATTCTTTGGGTCATATCTTCATCAAATATGTAAAAATCCTTCCTTGCCTAGTTCAAAACTAATTCAACAATATTCATTTTCCTATTCTGTTCACAACAACACTTTATGAAGGAAGTGCTATTTATATATTCTTGATTGCCCTCGGAATTTTTGGGCACTCTTCCTATCCAAATCATTACCGCATGACAAAATTCAGCTCCATTTGCCTAGCAAATCTTCCTCGGCAAATTTCCAAAGTTTTTGTCCACCTAGAAGCATTGTGAAGGAAGCACCTTTTTTATATCTAGAAAGGACATGAAATTTATACAGTTCCTTCATATGCCCAAATTATCACCCTCCTCCAAATTGCAGCTCAGTCAAATCATCTATGTGAGCCCAGGTTCAATTTATATTTTATGGTCAAATTGGCACGTTGCAAAGCAAGTGTTATATAGACCCCTCCTATTACCCTCAAACTTGTCGGGCACTCTTCCATACCCAAATCATTGCCACATGATAATATTCAGCTCAATTTTCCTAGTAAATCTTTCTCAGGAAATTTCCAAAGTTTCTACCTCGAGAGAAGCTTTGTGAAGTAAGTACTAGCTAGGCTTACCCAAATGATCTGAAAATTTACCAGCGCATGACCATACCTATGTAACTTACCTACACCAATTTTTAGCTCATTTCATTCATCCAATCTCTCTCACTAGTTTTCCCAAGTTTTTGTCCATAGAAGAGCATTGTGAAGGAAGTACTACTTTGGCATGTTCAAATGGTATCAATTTTCTACAATGCTTTCCTATGCCCAAATAACCATCCTCCACCAAATTTCAGCTCAATCCATTCATTATTTTGAGCCCAGCTTCAACATTCATATTTTTGTCCAGTGTGGTACTTTGCAAAGCAAGTACCACCTAGGATTCTCCTTTTGAACTAAAAATTTGTGAAGACATTCTCCTTAGTATATGGTCATCCTCAGCCAAAACTCACGCCCATTGGCCATGTGCATTTCCCGTACCGCTAATCAAACACTTGGCTGCTTATTCATGTTTGAGCATCGATCGGTCTTCTCGTGAGAATCTTATGTTGTGATTTTATTCCTAGCACCTACTTGGGGAGTGCCCAACCCACTAGACATGCCTAGGCTGCCCAGAACACATGGCAACACCACGGTCACGCAGTGACCACGCGGCGGGCATGCGAGTTTACGCGCTCTAGAGTTGGGGGCCTCGGCCACCGCCCAAACCTCGACGTATCGCCACCAAACCATGTATTTATGATTAAATAGGTACTTATGTAACTAGAAATGATTTTTGGAAAAAATAAATAGCAAACTATGAGGCAGCTGCAGTTCAAATTTGACCCGCTTCCTACTGAATCGGCGGAAATTTGTCTTTTTCACCAGAGGTGGATGAAACCTTTTGATACCCAACCATTTTATCAATTGTGCATTATATATGGCCTATTATTTTATAAAATTGATTAGGTCCAATTTTGCAACAAATATATGGTAGGTCCTTCACAAAAAAAACTCATTTTGGGCACTCTGAAAAATGGAAAATGAATTTTTCGTGCAAAGAAAATGAAAACTTCCTTAGGCAACATTGTTTGGAATTCCAAGATGCACCCTTGTGCATAATATGAGATCATTTGAACAAACTATGCCATGAATGTGGCCATAAGATTGATCATTTGGCTTGAAAGCCATGAATCTTCACGCATGATAGCTCATTTCTGAGAACACTTTTTTAAAAGAATTGTCGTATTACAAGTTTATTATTTTTCCTGGTAACTTGGCCATATATAATGACACAATGTGAAGGTTTCCCAATTTTTTGATTTTTTTGAACATTTTATGCCTGTTTCAAAATGCGGTCAAAACGGCGGGAATGACCGTTCCTAGCTAGTGGTTGAATCTTGAAATTGTTTTGGTGTTTCTCTTATTAAATAGATACTTATGTACCTAGAAATGATTTTTGGAAAAAAATAAAGAGCAAACTACGAGGTAGCTACAGTTCAAATTTGACCCGCTTCATGCTGAATCGGCAGGAATTTGTCTTTTTCACGAGAGGTGGATCAAAACTTTTGACACCCAACCATTTGGTCAATTGTGCATTAAATATGTCCTAATATTTTAGAAAATTTATTTGGTGCAATTTTGCAACAATTATTTGGTAGGCCCTTCACAAAAAACCCTGATCTCGGGCACTCGAAAAATGGAAAATGAATTTTCCGTGCAAAGAAACTGAAAACTCCCTTAGGCAACATTTTTTGGAATTCCAAGATTCACCCTTGTGCACAATATGAGACCATTTGAACAAACTATCCCATGAATGTGGGCATAAGATTGATCATTTGGCTTGAAAGCCATGAATCTTCACGCATGATAGCTCATTTCTGAGAACACTTTTTTAAAATAATTGCCGTATTGCAAGTTTATAATTTTTGCCAGTAACTTGGCCACATATGATGAAACAATGCGAAGGTTTTCCAATTTTTTGATTTTTTTGAATTTTTTATGCCCGTTTCAAAATGCGGTCAAAATGGCGGGAATGACCGTTCCTAGCTAGTGCTTGAATCTTGAATTTTTTGGTATGTCTATGATTAAATAGATACTTATGTACCTAGAAATGATTTTTGGAAAAAATAAAGAGCAAACTACGAGGTAGCTATAGTTCAAATTTGACCCGCTTCCTGCTGAATCGGCAGGAATTTGTCTTTTTCACGAGAGGTGGATCAAAACTTTTGACACCCAACCATTTGGTCAATTGTGCACTAAATATGGCCTAATATTTTAGAAAATTTATTTGGTGCAATTTTGCAACAATTATTTGGTAGGCCCTTCACAAAAAAACCTCATTTCGGGCACTCGAAAAATGGAAAATGAATTTTCCGTGCAAAGAAAATGAAAACTCCCTTAGGCAACATTGTTTGGAATTCGAAGATGCACCTTGTGCACAATATGAGATCATTTGAACAAACTATGCCATGAATGTGGCCATAAGATTGATCATTTGGCTTGAAAGCCATGAATCTTGACGCGTGATAGCTCATTTCTGAGAACACTTTTTTAAAATAATTGTTGTATTGCAAGTTTATAATTTTTGCCGATAACTTGGCCACATATGATGAAACAATGCGAAGGTTTTCCAATTTTTTGTTTTTTTTTGAATTTTTATGCC